AGTTAGCTCGAGTAGCGCTGGTGACCGGGGGGGCACACGATACACATCACACACACATACACACACACACACACACACACAACAAGCGAGCCAGCTAATTCATTCATTAAAAAACAAAAACTATTTCTCGGTCGTTGCAACGTCAACAAACATCCCAACGCGAAAGGGAGGAGGGGGGGGGGGTTAAAACAAACAAGACAGGACAGGAACTGTGTGCAGTGCGATACCAACCCGCCTCCAGCTTGTGGGGAGAGGCCAGGCCGGAACAGGTTCGTGCTCCTGGAGCCTCAACACGAACTCAAAGTTCAGAGGTAAGAGAGGGAGGAGGGCCCGGCTAGACGGGAGGGGGGGAGAGCTGCCTCTGCCAGCTGGTGGTGGGGGGGGAGGGGAGGGTGAGCCCGAGTGTTAGGGTAACAGAACCGGGGGGAAGCCGCGCAGCTCGCACCGACGTTGTGCGCCCTTCGTTGGGGGCAGAAAGAGAAAAGAAAAGGACGACGGGGCAAGTGGACAGCTCGGGAGCTAAGCTGGCCTAACTGGATTACTTCCGACGGCTAAGCTAAACCGGGGCCTTCTCACATTTCTGTGCTGCAGTGTGAGACAGGACACCGTCCGTCCGAAAGAGGCAAGCACAGCAACAACAAAACACAATGTGATAACCTTACGCTTCTGAATTCACGGAACATTCATTGCACGTAAAGCTGCAACATCCTTATAGTGTGTGTGTGTGTGTGTGGTGTGTGTGTGTGTGTTGGTGGTTGTGTGTGTGTGGTGGGGCTATCGTTTAGCTTCGCTCCCTTTGTTGGCCAGCCTGTCATTTAATAAGCTTGAACAGGAGCGAAAATAACTGTGCAACCTTGTGCCTGCTCGGTGTGTTTTCGTCCACAGACCCGCCGTCCTTATTCGTACAGCCGCTGTGTTGTTGCCTTTGTGGAAGCTCTGCCATTTGGCTGCCAAGAGTCTCGATGTTTTAGGCCCACAATAATGTTACATAAACACACTTGGGGTACTGTTTTATGACAACAGATTGCAGAGAAGATCATGCTACAAGTTGACCCATATTGGCCACCTTGTAGTCCTGGAGGAAGGGTGCTGAATAAGTTCTTTTATGAATGTTTGGTTTCTTTTTTTTAACTTGTTCACTGGACAGGACTATATCGCTGGCAGGTCTCCCAAATACAATTGTGGACAGTGGTTTTGGTTTAGCATGCTCAAAGCAACATAAATTATCACTTATAAAAACCAGGCAGCCACCAAATACTTATAATATACTTTATAATAATATATTACAGTAATATATGATGATAAAATACCTACGTATACAGTATATATACATAAGCTTCATTGGAGATATACACCAAAAACTGATTTGATTAGCATCACAGTATAGTAGATAAGGTGACGACGTTGGGTGTTTTTATGTGAATTGTCACGTTAAAGTAACTTATTCCTGAAATCTCAAGTGTAAATAAATGTTCAGCTAAGGTATTACCTTACTATCTATTATTCACAATGATTATGACACATTAAGACACACGTTAAGGTGTTATGTTTGAGCCCCCTGTGTGTTGCAGATAGTAATGACGTGTCTGAGTTGTAGAGGACTCAAACAGGCGCCCTTAATGAACAAAGTAGAGGTGAAAAGTGCCACACAATACAGTTTCCTCCACCCGGTCTGTTAATTAACACTGTACCACAATGAGAAGCTGTGTTTCAAGTCGTTATCACTTTGTTTGCCAGGTTTTGTTTGTTGTCGGTTTAACCTTTGGGTTGGTCCGTTTCACAGATGAGAGTGTAGGAATGAGATATTCTACTCACTGTTTATTATTGTCAACAAACACCATGAAAAGACCCAAAAGGAACAATGTGTACGTTCATCACCTTCTCTTAGCCTCGAGCTCATTATTTCTAACTCAAGATGTGAGTCTTTTAAAATAAAAATAACACAGGTCACCAATTCCTCTGCAGATGAACACACATTGTGAGCAT